ACTTTAGCAAGGCCAAAATAGTGTTCAAAAGACTGAAAATTATCATAAATGATTACTGGGTGATCCGTGGGATATAATTTTGTTTTGTTGACGTATGGGTATAGACTGGTAAAATCATAATAGTGTATGCTCTCACCTGGGGCCGCTTTGTGGTACAATTTGATTGCGTTTGTGCGGCCCCCATAAAGCGCATCACGAGGTTCCAGCGGCTGTGGAAAATCTTTATCGATAAGAAAAGCCTGTAGATCCTTGTCAGTTTCTAACAGGTTTGACCAATCATGTTCCCACATCTCACGGACCACATAACCCCGCATTTTTAGAAAATGATTTTTAACATTGGTTTTGTGGTGTAATTGTGCATAGGTAGTCTTTGTAACTGTGTTAAAAGCCTTTTCATTATAACAAACTGGGCAACCGTGGTAGAAACAACCCTGAAATTCAAAAGCTGTAGGCTGGCCATCAACCAGAGCGTACCCATCCAAAAAATAGTTACCAACAGCCCTTTCACCGCCCTGTAGAGCGTGCTGAATAGTGATCCCCTCTTTGTGTGCAACATACATTAACCACTGTATAGACTTTGTTGAGAAACGTTTCTGATTTGCATGGTAATTGTCAGAGGGTAAAATTGCTATGGTATTTTTCGGTAAAAACTTAAATCTGTACATGGCCATGCACACAGACGCTAATGTAGTGAGTTGAAAAGGATCAATATCAGCAATGACGGTTTCAGGACCGTCAGGACCCACAATAGTTTTTACCTTCTTGGTCATCTCCATCACACTTTCTCTGTAGCAGACACAGGCCTGTTTCAAGATTTTAACATCATCTATACAGTATTTTTTAAGTTCATTTTGAAAATTGAACTGACAATGTTGGTTCTCTTGATACCAGACCATAAACTCCTTTTTATCATCACACATCATTTAGTCATAACCATAATAGTCTACCAAAGGCATAGGGCCAATATAAGACTGATTCTGGGCTGTGTTAAAAAAGTGTGGAAAATAGCCTTTACAACCGACGAAACCCAGGGCCTTTGGCAATTGACTTAGTTTCATGGGGAGAAAATTTAAAGAATCGATAAATCTGATACCTAGATCAGCGACAGTCACACAAAGTAGTTTACCACCTTGCGCCAACAACTCAATAGCAATTTTCTCCTTAAGAAGTTGATTCACCACAAAGTAAGAATCATACCTGCCTGCATTATGCGCTATGAATGTGTAGCTACTAAAGGGCTTGTTTATAAATGTTATTATAAACTCCTCTAGGCACGCTGTACCCTGAAACTCCCAGCACTTATCCCCTTCTAATTCTGAAGCATAGATATAGTTGGGGATATGTACACCGGTCTCCTGCATACATTCAAAGTCATAAAAAATGTATTTGTTAGTAGGGTTTTCTGGGGTGTATCTTCTCATATAACAAACATGCCCATCAAGCGTGACTACAGTGGCATAGCAAATCTGACATTGGAAACCTTTACACTTATGATCGGCCATTACGGTGTAACGGCCGCAAGAATCACAATAAGCTTTCTGCCTGCACTCTATGTCTCCGGATACGGAGAGCTCTATGTGCAACTTTAAGCACTCTTGTGAACGACAAAAAGTACGACAACTGGAACATCTAGGAAACTCCCCTTTCACTTCTACACAGTTCTGTCTGTGACAGGCCTTACAAAAATACCGGCAGGAATGATTGTTTTTGTGAGAGAATGGTGTGTGACAGTAATTACAGAAGTATGATTCCCCAATGAACGCATTAATTTTTTTAATGCCATAATAATGTTTGTCTTCATGGTATATAAACACAACTTTATCTTTACAGGGCTTGTCTGAATGAAAATAGTGCCACGAACCATGATTGTGATACAGTACTTTAATTGTAATGCCTAAATGTTGTTCAAAAGCTGGGATGTCGCTAAAACTAACCAGACGATCATCAGGGATACCTACAGCTTTATGTATTTCTCTGGCTCTCTCCAACAACAGAGAGTCTACAGGATTATCCTGAGCCACAAGGGCACAAATGCTAGCCGCTAGACACAGGTTATTATTATCATTGTTTAAATCATAAAGCCATCTCTTTTTCCTGGCAATGATACAACTATAGGGTGTTGACCGGAGACGCCTACGATGCATTACACCACCGACTCTATTCCTAACAATGATTACAACCAACCTTAAAGACCCGCTGCCAATAATTTCAGCATTGCTCTGTACCAGGTTTGACACTGCGTTTAAAAAGGTTTCAGCATTCAATTCATCCCTACAACGTCTAATAGAGTGTAACGGTCTGCCAAGATCATCGCTATCTAGCCTTAATTGAACAAAATCGCTGGGACCTATATCAGGCATCATCCTGTTTAAAAGCTCTTGAATAGCATCATGTACAGACTGGAGTGCGTCTGAAAACGATGTTATTCTGTCTAAATTTACAAACCGAAAATGTTCATAATATTCTACGGCATTAAAATTGTTAATATCTCTGCGGCGTTGTTCAACACGCTCCAAAAATACAGGGGCCTCTAACTCATTAACAGGGTTCTGCACTTCGGGATGTTCCTGCGAATCGTTAATATTCTCAGGACTAAATGGACTTTGTTGCGTCTCTGTGGAAAGTTCTGTAGGTGTTGGGGCTATTTCAGTATCATTTGTGTGGGGTGTCACAGGGGTAACTGTAGCGTCTACGCCATCCTCAGCCGGAAGCAGCACAGGTGTTAAGCATTTGATTGCATCACAAGGGGTCTTACGGCGTTGCCTAGACATCGCAGAACGTAATGCACCTCGCAATGTATTTATGGCACGTTTAACGGTTCTAGCTCGACGCTTAGCTACAAGTCTCTGTCTGTCCCATTTTTTGGATTGAGATAATAAACCCCGTCCAACCATGACTAGTCACGCGGGGGTCAGTAAATTTAGTCCTGAACGAAAGGCATTGGTAGCACGGTCAAGTCTTTCAAAACGGTTTAAAAAATTAGTTTGTCTAAGCTCATCATCAGTCACAATAACAATGTTACGGATCTCACTAATCACAGAGTCAATAAAGTCTCCTAAAGCGAACCAAAAACCAAGTTCCCTTAAAAACCACTGTAATAAATCACTGACGTTGTCACGGGGTAATATAATGTTTGGTATAACACCGTTTATACTCAATTGACTATCACGACCATCATGGGATAACAATGCATGGCCAATTCTAAATGGGCGGCTAGCGGCATAAAGTTTTAGACTCAGAGGCCTGCTGCACTGTAAAAGAGCAGCGTCATTCAGTATTTTGAATATTTCAGTGATTGTATGTTGTACAGCATCCTTGACTTTAAACCATAAAGGAGCAGAACGCGTGAACCACAACATACATTTTCTAGTATCAAGAGGTGATGTGGTCTCTGTATAAATGTGTGTGTTTTTGCTGTCAGTATGTGTTATGGTCTGTAAAACATATCTACTTTTCTTAGGTGGCGGGTGTGTCGGCACCTTTACAGAGGTATTTCTGGATGTCAGTGATGTAGTCCCTCTATGTATATTGTTATCATTGCCGATGGTTTGTGTTATGTCCTGTAAAACAGATCTACTTTTCTTAGGGTTTGGTTGTATAGGAACATTTACAGGGCTAATGGATTGTTTCACAGGTACATTTGATGCTACAGTGAAATGTCGACACCCTGATACATTGCCTGGTGATGTGACTGATGGCTTACCCCGAGATGTGTGTTTTGTTGTGGTTAATGAATGTATTTGTTGAGGCTCCTTTGCGACGCATGCCGCACTAGATGGACGCTGCCTTAAAACCCCTGAGGTCGACGTTGACGGTTGTTCATCGTCACGTGTGACTGGAATATCTCTTGTAGAGCGGCTCCGGGTTATAGACAACTTTGGTACTGTATTCAAAAATAAATGAGTAAATTAATACACCGATGTACATACAGGTATATCTATGTAGTAAATAAAGATACAAATAAATATACTATATTTATGTAGTATACAAATATACAAATAAACAAAGAACTCATACGTATACTTGCCCTGTTTTAGTTTATGCGGGGTGCAGTCCCTGCGTTCTCCGGCATTCGCGCTGTATGTCTTACGACCGTGATCCGCAGCTGGTAAGCGGCTAATGTCTGTGCATGCATTAGATACTGCTGAGGTTTTTGTACTCTTTACGGTTGTTTCTAAAATAAATAGAAATATAATTATCGCCGGGATAAAACCGGGGATGATACAACCGCATATAACGTTATATAAACACATACCTGCTTTTAATGGTCTATGTGGATGTATGTTGGAGGGTCTGTCAGTCAATACTCTAGTATTCAAAGGATCTAAATAAATAAAATACAATAAGCCTTAGTTTTTTTGGGGTTTTTTTGTTTTGTTTTTTATGCATAAAAGACTTCAAAATAAATGTTTAGAATTTTAGAACGCTTATCAATATAGAAAATTTACAACCTTGTGAGGCGACCGCGAGCCTTCTGTGTAACTCGTTTTCATTCGTTGTTGGACTGATTTGTGCCTGAAAGGTGATAAAGTATTTGAACGCTTATGAAGGGAACACTAGGTCAGCATTTTACAATGAATGACCACAATCGGTTGTTTGACAAAACAGACACAGTGAGATGTCTAACAGCCACAGTGATATGGGTGATGCTGTAGCATCACAGCTTATTTTAAAAAGGTAATGCCATAACATGCGAGGATAAGCTCAGCATAACGCATATATACAACATATATAAGCCCAGCATAACACATATATTAAACAACATACACGGATAAGACCCACAAATGCATAGAGAAGAAGTTTGCATACATTAAAAACATGACTATGTTCAGCACGTAACGTTTTAGAACACAGACACACAGAAACAAACAATGCAGACTCTATATAATAGACCCTTACGTTGTTAAAAATAAAAACCAAAACATACGGCACACAGTCTATACTACCGACCCTGACAGTTAGAAATAAAACAACCCCATTGATGCTGTATCATCACAGCTTATTTTAAAAATGTTATGCTATAACTTACACGGATAAGCACAGCATAACACATATCTACAACATATAAATCCAGCATAACACATATATTCATACACAGACAAGCCCCGCAAATGCCTAGAGAAGGATTTTGCCTACATTAAAAACATGACTATGTTCAGTACGTAACGTTTTAGAACACACAGAGACGGAAACAAGCAATGCAGACTCTATATAATAGACCCTTACGTTGTTAAAAATAAAAACAAATACAGACGGCATACAGTCTATACTACAGACCCTGACAGTTTGAAATAAAACAACCCCATAGACATTTATATTGTAAAAAACATAAAATTTTAAATATAAAAGCATGATTTAGAATTACTTACCATATCTGTGTCTTGGGTATTCATTATGTAGTTGTATCCAGGAGCTGTCTTATGACCCCTAGTCTTGAGACTGGTCTTTTTATACCTTTTTTTTTTGTAATGTTTTTTTTTTTCTTTTTTTTTTGTTGGTGTTTGCGTGATGGGTTCAGGCAGGTGTATGATGGTCATTGTGTGATGTGGTCAGACAGGTGCATGAGGGTCATTGTGTGATGTGGTCAGACAGGTGCATGAGGGTCATCAGTAGTAAAAATAGCCATACTCATTGCAATAGACAAAACTGATTTTATTGAGAGTAAAATAAATCATTACATATCAATGACGATAACACGCGGTACATCTCTGCACATGCACGCTATGAACGCATCTATTTTTTAACCCACGCATATATTGCCACACAAAACTGGAGACTAAACGGTCATTTTGTTTTAATTCACTTGTGAAATGGCTTAAAAGCTCTTTAAAAGCAACCCCTTTACACATATGATGAATAAAAAAAATACAGAATTCACCACATACTGTAGACAGAGTGCTTTGTAACTGAACATTTTGAAAGTATATCTGTTTAGCATTTCTTTTTAAAAAAATCAGTATTTCTTTAGGGAATATTTCGCTTGTCGGTGCTAGTCCGTACGAATCAAAAAAATATCCCTGTCTCTTATCATCAATATAAACAGCCAACCAGTGCTCCCCGGATAATGTATGTGGATCTGTATTGATAATGAATGCCGCTGGTACGCTGTCCAGTTTAGAGGTGGGTAGTAAATCACACGGAAACACGCCAACAAATATACCTCTGGAATATGGGTCGGTACGTAAAATATGCGTTATTTCTAAGGTGTTCATGGTTAGGTTTTAGAGAAAATCATAAAGAACCTCCCGTCTTTGATTAATTTCAATAACGTTTTCAAACAGTCCATAGACGATCAGATTTACAGTGCGTTCCAGGGCCCTCGAAAAGCGTATTTCCGCCCTTAGGTTACCGCTACGTATGAGTGAAAAATGACTACTGCATTCCTGATCAGGCGATAGATCAAAAGCGAATAATGTATATCCGTCCACAAATTCTACTCTGTTAATTATAATTCCAGAATCACCGCAGTTCTTCTGTGCCAATAATAAAAATGACAGTCACCACAAAACCAATGTTAAAAATCATTTTCTAAAAATGCGGGGTTATGTGGTCCGTGAGATGTGGGAACATGATTGGTCAAACCTGTTAGAAACTGACAAGGATCTACAGGCTTTTCTTATCGATAAAGATTTTCCACAGCCGCTGGAACCTCGTGATGCGCTTTATGGGGGCCGCACAAACGCAATCAAATTGTACCACAAAGCGGCCCCAGGTGAGAGCATACACTATTATGATTTTACCAGTCTATACCCATACGTCAACAAAACAAAATTATATCCCACGGATCACCCAGTAATCATTTATGATAATTTTCAGTCTTTTGAACACTATTTTGGCCTTGCTAAAGTAACAGTGTACCCACCCCGAGGTCTATTTTTCCCTGTTCTACCGGTTAAAATGAATGGCAAACTTATGTTCCCATTATGTCGTACATGCACAGCCAATAACCAAACAGCACATTGTGAACATAATGAGGAGGAACGCTCTTTGACAGGTACTTGGTGCACTATTGAAATACAACAAGCCCTGATTAAGGGCTACAGGTTGGGGAAGATCTTTGAGATTTGGCACTTTCCTTACTCTTCCAATACGTTATTTGAAAAGTATATAAAGGTGCACCTTAGGGATAAGCAGGAATCCTCAGGTTACCCTGAATGGTGTACGACTGATGAAAAAAGACGCCAATACATTGATGCTTATTACGCTAAAGAGGGTATTTTGCTAAGACCAGAGAAAATAGAAGTAAACCCTGCAAAACGACAGATTGCAAAATTGTTTCTTAATTCTTTATGGGGCAAATTTGGTCAGAAACCTAATTTGCAAACCACAAGTCTTGTATCTGATCCTGACAAGCTTTTTGGTTATATATTTTTACCTGAATACGAGGTGTCTTCTCTGTCATTCATAAATGATGATACAGCCATGCTCAGTTGGAAGCACGCCCAGGGTTGTCACAGTCCGTCTCGCAATACCAATATATTTATTGCATGTTTTACCACCGCCTATGCACGACTTGAACTGTACAATGTTTTAGACCGTCTTAATGAGAGATGTCTCTACCACGACACTGACTCTGTTATTTTTGTTAGTACAGCGGGTGACTGGAATCCACCTCTAGGGGACTATCTAGGTGAGCTGACTAGTGAAATACCCTGTGACACACACATTACAGAGTTTGTATCTGCAGGTCCCAAGACGTATGGTTACAAACTATCGACGGATAAAACATCTCTAAAGGTGAAAGGCATAACACTTCATGCCAGTAATGCCCAGTTGATTAACTTTGACAGTTTAAAAGACCTGGTGTTGGACTACCCCTTGCACTCAGACCCTGATGAACAGAAAAGAATAGTGGTACGACAGTCCTCCATTGTCAGAAATAAACTCCTTTGGCAGATAGAGACGCGACCGCTACAGAAAACACAGAAGTGTGTATATACAAAAAGATATTTGGTCGACGACTTTACCACTCTCCCATTTGGTTACTAATCATTCACCATGGACACTCGTTTACAACATCCTTTTTCATGCATATTGGCAGGCCCTTCTAATTCCGGGAAAAGTTATTTTGTCAAACAGGTTTTACAGAATGCTACCGCTTTAATGTCGCACACTCCTGATAACATTGTTTGGTTTTATGCCTGCTGGCAAGTGCTTTATGATGAATTATTACTCACAATCCCAAATATTCGTTTTATAGAGGGTTTACCCACAACATTTAATGATGATAATTTGTTCCCCCCTAACAGAGTAAATTTAACTATTGTTGATGACTTAATGGAGGCTGCTAGTGAGAGTTCAGAAATTGAGAAAGCATTCACCAAGTATGTGCATCACAGAAATCTGAGTATTATGTATCTGGTGCAGAATGTGTTCTGTCAAGGTAAAAAAAGTCGTACTATAGCTTTAAACACTAAATATATGGTACTTTTTAAGAACCCAAGAGATAAACTGCAAATCACTACTCTGGCCCGCCAAATGTACCCCGGTAAATCACAATTTTTTCTAGACGCTTTTGAAGATGCCACACGCAAATCTTATGGTTATCTACTTGTAGATTTAAGATCTGCAACCCTCGAAGAGTACCGCTTAAGAACCGGTCTCTTCCCACCCGACCTTCCCTCTGCATATATTTATAACAAACAGCCCTCTAAAAGTCGATAACATACCATTAACAGGTCATTCCCTGCCGAATCTCAGATCCTTAAGGATGTCTATGCGTATACGTCGCAATTGGTTGGCTTTACAAAGTCTAATAAGTGCATCGCCATCACAAAAAAAAGATATTTTATGCTCCGCATCTCATGATTTAGTCACGGCTATATGTGAAATAGCTCTTAATACCCTTAAAGGTAAGATACCTTTATCACAACAACAAGTAGAAAAGCTAAAAAAGTGGCGAAAAAATATAAAAGCACTGAGCAACAAAAAAGTGTCTTTTAGTAAGAAGAAACAGTTGGTTAAACAGTCTGGAGGATTTATTGGCTCTCTGTTGGGATTTGCTATACCTCTGCTGACCGGTCTTTTGACTAACCGTTAATGGCACACGCTGAGAAAAAGTACTTAGTGTCTAAACAAGAGTTAGACCTAATACAGCGAACCACTCAGAGCTCTGAGACCGCTCGTGAGTCTGTCACTCAAAACCTAGATAATGAGATTATTTCTATTCTTCAAAATAGAGGTGTATCGGATGATGAGAAGATAAAGAGGTATACCACTATATTGCAGAAATACTTGGTACGTACTAAACAGAGTGAAAGCGAAAAGTTGGGCTTGACACTTTTCTTACCTCCTGGAGAATCCTCCGTACCAAACCCCCCTGTAGCACATCCTCATAATGCTGGAGTCTCTGATGTTTCAGACGCTGTATTTCGTGAAGTTGTTAATAATGTAAATGTCCGCTATAAAAAAAATGCTGAATTGTTGTTGAGTAGAATGTCTCAATTTAAGCACATTACCGCTTGGAATGATAAGGGTGAATTTGTTTATAAAAACACTGTTGTACCGGGATCAAATATACTCGATTTGGTACGTAGTGTTACCCAGAGTCACAATGTTACGGTACGTAAATTACCTCTGGGCTGGGATACTTTTCTTCAGGCTATGGCTGACCTGAACATACCGTCTACCGTTGTGGGCAACACATCAAATAGAGACTATTTGGAACAATTGAAATTGCGGATCCTTCCAAGCGAGACTCGGGACATAACACCCCATTTTCAAAAGAGACAATCGTTACCAAATATTTCTTTTAGCACCCCGGGATTAACTACATCTCACGGCTATTTGCTACCTAAGAAGCGCCCCCGTATACTGAAGCAGCCTGCTGATTGGTTGAATTTGTGATGTTTATTCATTGCATTTCTGTCTAAAACATGTGATGATTATTGCTTTTCCTTCATACATTGTATTACCCCTTTTGCCTGTGACTATTGTATTGTTGCTTTTCCTGCGAAGTGTATCGGCTTTTTTTTTTGTCTAATAAATATCGTTATATGAGTTACTTTGAAATTTATTTATTTCTCAGATGTATATAAACTTGCCCTCTGGGTTTGTTCTCTACTTTCAAAACTGGCCCCAGACACATCTTCCAAAACATGTCCAGACTTGTCCTCTTTATTCAGTAATATGAAATGAAATTAAAAATAAATAAACATCCAACCATAGGATGTAGTACGTCATACAACCACATGGTGGCAGACTCTATGAACATTGTAAAGGGGCGTGTCTATTACATGCCGTATTGGGTGTGATTTCATAAAAAAAAAGGGGCGGGCACCCATCAACGCGCAATGGGTGGGGCCCTATTGCGCAAGGGGCGTGGTTTCATGAAAGGGCTGGGCAACCATCACCACACAGGGGGCGGAGACCTATTGCGCAACAGGCGTGGTTT